CACACACACACACACACACACACACACACACACACACACACACACACACACACACACACACACACACACACAGAGCCAATGATGATGGACGATGGTTGAACTGTCATGATGAGAGCGAGACATGATTGGAGTGGAAGACGTGATGCAGTCAAGAATCTTACCGTTCCAGATGATGTGGGACCTCCCGCTGACAGAGCCTGCGAATCAACAGTCATGGCACAGAATTGAACAATGATGTGGAAATGGCAGTCAGAAAGCAATAACCAACTGCGATTTAAAATAAGGAAAAAAGAAAAACAGGAATGGAAAGTCAGGAAACAGAAAGCTATAACCAACTTGTATGCACCACACCATCATCACCTTCAACAGGGGCAACGGTCAATTGGACTCTGTCTGGAACAGGCAAACTGTGCGGGCAAAGGGTCACCACACAACACTGGAAACACAAAATTAAACTTCGGAGTCCAAACTTCAAAGCTCAAATATACACCCATAAAGTTATTATGAATGGCATGTCAAATTGCCAATGGAATAGAAAAGAAAGAGTAAGCTCATCATCTCATCCACAATCTTGGGATTTAACAATGCTCACTGCTCAGGAGAAATAAATGCATATGTAATTTTTTTTTCCTCCCCCCCCATTCATCTCACTTTGCAATCTATGGATAAACAAGGTACATTTATTGGGTCGTCCTTTCCTTTCTTTGAAATTCTTTCTTTTCTGCTTTCTACTTCTTCTTTTCTTTTTTTGTCTGGGCTTTCTTACTTTTCTGAGTTCTTCTTTACTTTCATGTTTTTGTTTTTTTTTTTTTACCCCGGAGCATTTCTCGATGTCTGCATGTCATCCTTAAAAGCGCAGGGGCCATGCTAATCTTCTTTTTCTGTATCATTCCAATTTTAATGGATGTCAGGAAGGACAACTCTTTTCTTTGCATTCTTTCTTTTCTTCTCTTTATGAAAAATAAAAATAAAAAATGACGTGTTTAAGTTTTGGCAATGTCTTCGTCTGTTTTGCAGCGTCCTGAGGCTGCAGAAGACTGGTTTCTTTCCCACCAGCAAGTCAAAATGACTCAAAAAGAGACAAAACAGATCTTCAGCAAGTCAGGAACAGATCAAGTAAGTTTTTTTTTTGTACACGATTTCAAACGACCACTACGTTTCACAGCCGAACTCGAAACCTCTTAAGAACGTGGTATAAATTCCGTATAACCTATACCGCATTCTTCGGAGGTCGGGCGCCAGCAGACCAAAATGGCTGGCAGCACCAGACAAAACAAAAAAAAGAAAAGTTGTGCTTGCGCTTCAGCAAAGCTTGGCGTACAGTTCTTTTCCGCCTCAGCAAAAAGACGCTCGGCGGTAGTGGTGGTTTAAGTTGCAAAGGGATGAAATGAAACAGATTTTCAGCAAGTCACAAAGCGACAAACATCACGAAACAGGTTTTAGTATCATGTTGCATCAAGTACTGTGCACCTCGTCTTCTCAATGCCGATGCATTCCAGCAGCCCTCCTCTGAAGTGGCCTGTAACTCTCTGGTACCCTGAGCGTCATCCCCTCTGACCTGACTACCGTCTTCACCCTTGCAGAACACCCGGTCATTATGGCTGTATCTAGAACCAAAGTTGTCCCAAATACAGCTATAATCATAGTATAATGACCATTGGCCACCATTCTATTTGGGCATAGACGATAGAAAGATACTTTTCATCAGCACCCTCCTTCGTCGTACATCACATTGTTTTCCCGCAGGGCTGTGAAGATTGGGTGAATCTTCAGAGGTTCACGTCATATCGCCACACAGCTGCTTTTTTTTTTTCTTCTTCTTCTTTTTCCCCTAAACCACCAGTTGTGAGGATTTGAGCCCTCGGCATGCCCATATGGGGCCCCTACTACAAGCCTTGTGCCCGCCCTAAGGGAAGGAGGAAGGAAGGAAGGAAGGAAGGAAGGAAGGAAGGAAGGACGGAAGGACGGAAGGACGGAAGGAAGGAAGACAGGAAGACAGGAAGGGAAGGGGGAGTGCATGATATTTTCTTTTTGACAACTGGTAGCCTAGCTTTTTTGAAAGTTTTTTGCTTTTTTTTGTTTTGTTTCTTTTCTTGATGTCAAAGGTTCCAAATTCCAATCCATTACTAGGAAGCACCACTTGCTAGAAACTAGGTCCAGCATCCCTTTCGCGTATACCAAAGCACCTTTGGACCTTTGGTAGAACAGAGCATTGATTGCTTCTCGTACCGGAAGAGGATTAACTACCTGCATGGAACTAAGAGACACAGACCTTTGGCTCACCAAGGCCACCAACTATTTCAGACCCAAACTTCGTAAACTTCGTATCAATCCTGTGGCTATCGACTATTTTTCAGACCAAAACAGGAAAGGGTCAAGGACGTCTGCTCACACCAAACCAAACCACTCCAAGTCAAGAACAGCAGACACTTTGAGGCAAGGTCTGACCATGAGACACTCTAGTGGATGAAAACGCGACCCACCATAGTCCCCAACCGTCTGGTGTCTTGGGCCGGGCAGGTAGGCCCTTCTTCTTTTTCTCATTCTATCTTTTTGCTCAAATGCTCAAATACTCATGCTTCCTGGTAATAAGCAACCGGACTGATGGCCCCCAGAATAGAAGGGGCGAGTGTGTGTGTGTGTGTTGAAAAGAAAAGGAAAAAAAAATGCAACCCGCACTGTCTGATCCGCTGATCCGCTGGCTGTCATTCATTTATATGTTTGACTTCACGCTGAAGCGTGTGAAAGGGAAGTACAATGTGGTTGCTGATGTGCTATCACGCAGAGGCAGACTATCTAGGTGCGCTAGTGACTGAGTTCCATCGAGACATGTATGTCGGCAGGTGGTGGACTCCTACCAGAACACCAAAATTCTCAGTGAAATCACCCAGACACCTTCTAGTACAAGATAGACAGGTGAGTGAAGACTATAGGATGATCGCGGGACTGTTGTTTTGGACTAAGCGTGGGTTTGAGAGACTCTGCATGCCCCCACTTTGAACCTTCAAAGAGCTTGTTCTTAGGGGAATGTCATCATGCAACGAGGCACTTTGGGTTTAAACTTTAAACCACCACTACCTTTCCAGCTGTTGGGAAAATGGGAAAATAACCTACTCCTTAAAAATCGGAGGTCGGGCCCGACGACAGCCGCCGCTGATAAATCTCATTGGCGACCGTCGGTTTGTTTCGGCCTCCTAAAGATTCGAGGCCCTGACAACCGCCCACATGGGAAAAGGTAGTGGTGGTAACTTGTTCCAGCGGTTTTGGTGGCCAGGCATGAAGGGGGATGCTCAACAGTATGTAGAGAGTTATCAGGTTTGTCAAAGAAACAAACCTAGGACACAGGCGCCTCTAGAGAGTTTGTCGGTTTGTCAAAGAAACAAACCTAGGACGCAGGCCCCTCTAGGCTTCAATACGCCCCTTCCCCATGATGAGCGCATTGAGCGGAGGTAAGGTCCACATTGATCCAGTCGTTGAGCTCAGGGAGATGCCTGTTGAGAAGCCACGGGGCATATAGGAAGACTGCCAAATCCACAGACGTACTTCCAAGTGGCATTCAAGGGTCATCTGGATCCCAAGGAAGATTGGCGGTTCACAAGGGAGGAACTAATCAAGCCTGTGCCTCAAGTGGTTTCACTATGAAAGAGCTCTGAAAGGGAAGCACCAGAAGAAAGGAGGATAACAACGGGAAAAAGAGAAGAGCTTGGGGCTCCATACTTCCACCTCCTCACTATACTGTCCATATGTCCCAGTCAGGGAACTCGGGCTCCGTGGCCAATACTCTGCTGGCTTTATAAACTTCCTCTGTCTCGGCTGCAGACTGTTTCTGTGTGGACTGCACCTCTCTCGCTGTACTGATCTTTGTGCTGTGATAGCATGTACCTGGCCACTTTTTGGACCCGTTTCACGCTTCCCAAGCACAAACATAGCGCCAACAATGGGGTCTACCCCTGAGTGCCAGACCTGTCCTTTTTTTTTTTGTTTTTTTTCCAAAAAAACAGAACCTTACGGTTCTGGCTCCTTTTCCATTCTGGGGAGCATCAGTCCGGTTCCTATTCCACCGGCAAGTCAGAAATGATTACACAAGGTACTCACACACGCTCCTCCCCTTTATGGTAGGAAGGCCCGAAAGACGGCATTGATTAATTCCCACGGGAAGGATGTACCATCAATCACCCCTGCCTAAGTTAGCCTATTTGACGTAATCCTGGGCTTATAAGGCCTGTCGAAGTTGTGAACTCTGTAATGTGGTATCTGTCTATCGTCCTATCCGATCTTTCCCTAGTTCTTCCTCTCAGCTATAAGGCTGTCAGATCTGTGTGTATTGCTGGTAGAGCTAGGTTTATCTTCCGCTGGTCTTTAGCCCTAATGTTTTTTTGTTTGTTTGTTTGTTTGTTTGTTTGTTTGTTTGTTTAAATCTGTAAGAGCATAATCTGTGTGTTCCTCATGAAGTCCTGAAAAGACCTTACCATTTCAAACCTTGTTTGTGTAAGTCTATCCCAAACCCTAAACCCGGACCCTTAACTATAGCTTTTTATTTTGCTTAAACATCAATCCACTGGTCTTCACTGTCTCTCCCATTTCCTATCCCTATGGTAGTCCTATTTCCTGTGTCATTCCTTGGATCTCCGAGGACACCTCTGATCTGTCCTCCTTAAACCAATGAAAAATCAGTCTCTGACCCTCTATAGTCGCAACTTTGCCACTGGSCAATACCTTATTCTGAAATTTCGTGAGAATAGCCTTCGCCTTTTCAGGGTTTATTGCTGCTTGTATTTTGATCCTCTGCCATTGAGCTCTAATGTCTGTTTCCAATAGATTATAGAGCGTGGTTCTGGCTTCCATCCTRGTCATCAGACTTTTGCCGATCACCCGTTGACATCTCCGTTTCCAGATAATCCACAATGAATACTGTCTCAATAGCTGAAAGATGTATTTTTCACTCTCCTTCCATGTCTTAGGTACTTCTCTTCCCATAAGCAAGAGCCTTGTGCTACTTGGAAAGAGAACGTCTGTAGTACGCTCCCAAAGTTTACCGGCCATAGCCCATATGTATTCTGCTTCCGTACAATTAAGTAGACAATGTACCATCGTTTCAGGCTCTTTGTCAATGCACATAGTACAGTCTTGTTGTATTTCTTCTCTATTCTGCCTACTCCTTTTTTCATATAACCATACGTTAACCGGAAGTGCCACATGGAATATAAGCCACTGCATACTCCGGATCTTGCCCAACCTGATACCATGAAGGCTTGACCATGGTATTT